TCGCTAGAAATAGTAACTCCCCCCCCCCCTACCACAATGTTGGTTCAAACCATGGTTATTGGACCTCAAACCAACATTGTAAACGGGGAGGGGGGGAAATTGAGAAATTTTTGAAAAGTCTACGAATTAATTTCCATGATTGTCTATAAAAGTATGGCACTTAGTCATTTTCGACCCAGAACAAAGGTTACTATATTATAATACCTGATTCTCTTTTTGACTGAAATAACTTTATTTGCCTTGTGCAAGGTTGCTGTGTAATCTTTTTGCCGGGGGGGAGCACCAGGGGGGTGTGGGCAAACTGTTTAGCGACGGGATACCTCAACGTATTTAATTTTGACCGTTTCAATATGTTAAGTAAGTTATGACATAAAGTTTGCCTTCGAGTTCCTTGAAATATATTTGAACTTTACATATACATCTAACCGTATCAATTTATTTATATAATCGTTGCTGCTACAGCTAAATTATATCCAAAATTTCATTGCATTTATGCGGTTGAAGTTTATGTGGTAATAATAATCTGCATAACAAGACATGCAATTTTTCTATGAATATATCTTATTATGGAAAGTGTAATACTGTACATTTGTTGATGTCAACTGTAACAGCAGTGACGTACAGAGACGATATATAGCGACCCAAAGAGGGTCGAGGGAGGTGGGGGTGTTCCTCTACAGCCTCTTCGCCTTACCAACCAACTCTATTTCACCAACTAACTTGTCAACAGGTCACGGTTTTTCCTACATAATCTCCATTTTGCCGACAAGCTTTCTAAGAAGTGGGTGGGTAGGTGGTGGTGGGGGGGGGGTCACACTCCAACATACCCCGTTCGGTAACCATTGTGTAACAGAGTAGTGCTTATTTCGTTGTAACAGTAAGTCGTTATAATTATCATAGAAGGAAGAGTGTGAGATATGATATAAACAAATTTTAAATAGGGACTGCACATGTTACCACATGTTACTGTACATGTTACTGCACATGTTACTATGTATTTATTATATTTTACTATATAATTTGAACAAGTTACTGATGTTTTTTTTTATAATTATTAAAGTATGTATACTTTATATAATGTACAGCAGTAACATATAGCAACATGTTACTACATGTTACTGCTGTTTTTATATAAAGTACATGGTTCTATTTTTATAGAAAACAGCAGTAACATGTAGTAACTTGTTGAAATTATGTAGTAAAATATAACAAATTGATTGTAACATGTGCAGTAGCATATACAGTAACACGTGGTAACATACGAAGAATTTATTTAAAGAATTATATGGTAAAAATGTAGTACACTTATAGTAACATGAACAGTAACATGTAGTAACATGCAGTAACTTGTCCTATATGTAATATATAGAGGTTAGTGAAATAGTCACTGCAATCAGTTAGGTCTCGTACCTCCAACATTTCGGTGGACGGAAAAAAATTTGAATCTCCCTCATAAAATATACGACAATGCGTTAGTTATTAACTTTTAATTATTAACTTTCAAATATTATATACATCAGTCATTACGCAGAATTACGTTTTGTAAATACAGGCTAATTGTATGTAGCAGTGGATCATTTATTAAATCTTTTGTTAAAACCTTTGGTATACAGTATGCTTGAAAGAGTCTTTATTACCTAACGAACTCTAATTATATTATTTGAAGAGATTTCCCGTTGAAGTAAAAGCAGACAGTGTATGATGTAAGTTTCTTGATTATCTCTCTGTAATACCATGAACTCTTATGAAGTAAACCCATAAATATTCAATATAACATGTAGAATCTGCCATGCTTTAGAGTTTTAATGAGGATTTATACACCGCATCTCCAAATATCCCCCCCGCAATTTTTGTCTTTAAATTTAGACAATCATGGAAATAATATCCGTAGACTTTTTTTAAACGCATCTTGTCTTACTATTTTGTAAAGCCATTTTATTTTTAGTTAATACAAACGTCCATGATCGCTAGAAATAGTAACTGCCCCCTCCCCTACCACAATGTTGGTTCAAACCATGGTTATTGGACCTCAAACCAACATTGTAAACGGGGAGGGGGGAAATTGGGAAATTTTTGAAAAGTCTACGAATTAATTTCCATGATTGTCTATAAAAGTATGGCACTTAGTCATTTTCGACCCAGAACAAAGGTTACTATATTATAATACCTGATTCTCTTTTTGACTGAAATAACTTTATTTGCCTTGTGCAAGGTTGCTGTGTAATCTTTTTGCCGGGGGGGAGCACCAGGGGGGTGTGGGCAAACTGTTTAGCGACGGGATACCTCAACGTATTTAATTTTGACCGTTTCAATATGTTAAGTAAGTTATGACATAAAGTTTGCCTTCGAGTTCCTTGAAATATATTTGAACTTTACATATACATCTAACCGTATCAATTTATTTATATAATCGTTGCTGCTACAGCTAAATTATATCCAAAATTTCATTGCATTTATGCGGTTGAAGTTTATGTGGTAATAATAATCTGCATAACAAGACATGCAATTTTTCTATGAATATATCTTATTATGGAAAGTGTAATACTGTACATTTGTTGATGTCAACTGTAACAGCAGTGACGTACAGAGACGATATATAGCGACCCAAAGAGGGTCGAGGGAGGTGGGGGTGTTCCTCTACAGCCTCTTCGCCTTACCAACCAACTCTATTTCACCAACTAACTTGTCAACAGGTCACGGTTTTTCCTACATAATCTCCATTTTGCCGACAAGCTTTCTAAGAAGTGGGTGGGTAGGTGGTGGTGGGGGGGGGGTCACACTCCAACATACCCCGTTCGGTAACCATTGTGTAACAGAGTAGTGCTTATTTCGTTGTAACAGTAAGTCGTTATAATTATCATAGAAGGAAGAGTGTGAGATATGATATAAACAAATTTTAAATAGGGACTGCACATGTTACCACATGTTACTGTACATGTTACTGCACATGTTACTATGTATTTATTATATTTAACTATATAATTTGAACAAGTTACTGATATTTTTTTATAATTATTAAAGTATGTATACTTTATATAATGTACAGCAGTAACATATAGCAACATGTTGAAAATTTCAACATGTTACTACATGTTACTGCTGTTTTTATATAAAGTACATGGTTCTATTTTTATAGAAAACAGCAGTAACATGTAGTAACTTGTTGAAATTATGTAGTAAAATATAACAAATTGATTGTAACATGTGCAGTAGCATGTACAGTAACACGTGGTAACATACGAAGAATTTATTTAAAGAATTATATGGTAAAAATGTAGTACACTTATAGTAACATGAACAGTAACATGTAGTAACATGCAGTAACTTGTCCTATATGTAATATATAGAGGTTAGTGAAATAGTCACTGCAATCAGTTAGGTCTCGTACCTCCAACATTTCGGTGGACGGAAAAAAATTTGAATCTCCCTCATAAAATATACGACAATGCGTTAGTTATTAACTTTTAATTATTAACTTTCAAATATTATATACATCAGTCATTACGCAGAATTACGTTTTGTAAATACAGGCTAATTGTATGTAGCAGTGGATCATTTATTAAATCTTTTGTTAAAACCTTTGGTATACAGTATGCTTGAAAGAGTCTTTATTACCTAACGAACTCTAATTATATTATTTGAAGAGATTTCCCGTTGAAGTAAAAGCAGACAGTGTATGATGTAAGTTTCTTGATTATCTCTCTGTAATACCATGAACTCTTATGAAGTAAACCCATAAATATTCAATATAACATGTAGAATCTGCCATGCTTTAATTTAGAGCTTTAATGAGGATTTATACACCGCATCTCCAAATATCCCCCCCGCAATTTTTGTCTTTAAATTTAGACAATCATGGAAATAATATCCGTAGACTTTTTTTAAACGCATCTTGTCTTACTATTTTGTAAAGCCATTTTATTTTTAGTTAATACAAACGTCCATGATCGCTAGAAATAGTAACTCCCCCCCTCCCCTACCACAATGTTGGTTCAAACCATGGTTATTGGACCTCAAACCAACATTGTAAACGGGGAGGGGGGGAAATTGGGAAATTTTTGAAAAGTCTACGAATTAATTTCCATGATTGTCTATAAAAGTATGGCACTTAGTCATTTTCGACCCAGAACAAAGGTTACTATATTATAAACCTGATTCTCTTTTTGACTGAAATTACTTTATTTACCTTGTGCAAGGTTGCTGTGTAATCTTTTTGCCGGGGGGAGCTTCAGGGGGGTGTGGGCAAACTGTTTAGCGACGGGATACCTCAAAGTGTTTAATTTTGACCGTTTCAATATCGGTTAAGTACGTTATGACATAAAGTTTGCCTTCGAGTTCCTTGAAATATATTTGAAGTTTACATATACATCTAACCGTATCAATTTATTTATATAATCGTTGCTGCTACAGCTAAATTATATCCAAAATTTCATTTAATTTATGCGGTTGAAGTTTGTGTGGTAATAATAATCTGCATAACAAGACATGCAATTTTTCTATGAATATATCTTATTAGGGAAAGTGTAATACTGTCCTATTTGTTGATGTCAACTGTAACAGCAGTGACGTACAGAGACCATAGCGACCCAAAGGGGGATCGAGGGAGGTGGGGGTGTTCCTCTACATCCTCTTCGCCTTACCAACCAACTCCATTTTACCAACTAATTTGCCAGCAGGTCACGGTTTTTCCTACATAATCTCCATTTTGCCGACAAGATTTCTAAGAAGAGGGTGGGGGGGGGGTGTCACACTCCAACATACCCCGTTCGGAAACCCGTGTGTAACAGAGTAGTGCCTATTTCGTTGTAACAGTAAATCGTTATAATTATCATAGAAGGAAGAGTGTGAGATATGATATAAACAAATTTTAAATAGGGACTGCACATGTTACCACATGTTACTGTACATGTTACTGCACATGTTACTATGTATATATTATATTTTACTATATAATTTGAACAAGTTACTGATGTTTTTTTTATAATTATTGAAGTATGTACACTTTATATAATGTACAGCAGTAACACATAGCAACATGTTGAAAATTTCAACATGTTACTACATGTTACTGCTGTTTTTTTATATAAAGTACATGCTTCCATTTTTATAGGAAACAGCAGTAACATGTAGTAACTTGTTGAAATTATGTAGTAAAATATAATAAATTGATTGGAACATGTGCAGCAGCATGTACAGTAACACGTGATACCATACGAAGAATTTATTTAAAGAATTATATGGTAAAAATGTAGTACACTTATAGTAACATGAACAGTAACATGTAGTAACATGCAGTAACTTGTCCTATATGTAATATATAGAGGTTAGTGAAATAGTCACTGCAATCTGTTAGGTCTATTACCTCCAACATTTCGGTTGACGGAAAAAAAATTGAATCCCCCTCATAAAATATACGACAATGCGTTAGTTATTAACTTTTAATTATTAACTTTCAAATATTATATACATCAGTCATTACGCAGAATTACGTTTTGTAAATACAGGCTAATTGTATGGAGCAGTGGATCATTTATTAAATCTTTCGTTAAAACCTTGGGTGTATGCTTGAAAGAGTCTTTATTACCTAACGAGCTATTATATTATTTGAAGAGATTTCCCGTTGAAGTAAAAGCAGACTGTGTATGATGTAAGTTTCTTGATTATCTCTCTGTAATACCATGAACTCTTATCAAGTAAACCATAAATATTCAATATAACATGTAGAATCTGCCATGCTTTAGAGCTTCAATGAGGATTTATACACCGCGTCTCTAAGTATCCCCCCGTAATTTTTGTCTTTAAATTTAGACTGTAGTTTGACTTGAGATAATGGCAATAACAAGAAAGTCAGATATCTTAGTGAGTATTTAATAAAATTCAATGAAACTCGGTACACTTAGTGGGTGCACTCATATGAATATTTTTGGCAGGTCATGTGGTTGTCATGGCAACACACTAGTCCCCAGTCTCTTCTCTTCTTTTTCACAAATTTCCTCATGTACAGTAGACGTCTTGCAGATGATGTTTGCATGTTATAACAGTTTAAACTGATCACAATACCTAAACGTACAGTATTATAGTAAAAGGCGACAATTGCAGAAATTGCTATTTATTTCGTTGATGGATCATATAAAAATTGGAAGAGAAGGGACTGGAGGCGAGTGTGTTGCCATAACAACCAGATGAACAAGCCAAATTGTTCACTTTGTTGCACCCACTAAGTGTGCCAAGTTTCATTGAATTTTATTAAATGATCATCAAGATACCATATTTTCTTGTTATTGCCACTATTTTGACTCAAACTAGTGACGTCACAACTCAAAATAAAGAAAGTGCGATAACTTGGGAATGAGATCAGATATGAAGAAACTGTAAACGTCATTCTTCATCATTTAAGCAGTACCTTTTAATAAGACAATAAAAAATTTCGTTTCATAAGCACTTCAATGTAATGTCATTAGTGATGCACTGTCAACTGATTAAGGTAACGATCATACCAACTATCATAATCCAAAATCCTTGTTAACATTTGTCCAGAAAGTGAATCGACTAATAATTAAGGATAATGAAAAGGAGTTCATTTTGAAAACAGATGGAGTCACCTATTATTCTATGAAACGTTAAAGCCTGGTTTCCATGTGGTCGTAACTGTCATGACCAAGCCATGTTCGGCGACGATGTGAAATAGTCTGGATCTAAACACCACACAAAAAGTTCCCCCCTAAATATATGATCATAAGTTCTAAATAAATGATTACCTGATAATCAAACCTAGCGCTAATTAGATTTATGATAGTTTGCTTAATGCTGTGTGAAGAATGGGGTCATTCATCTCGTGCGTCATGTTGTAAAAACGAAATTTGGCATCAATACTCAATATACAGGTTTAAATACCAGCGGACGAACCCTAGATTTTTAGCAAAATTGTTTATTTCTAGTCAATTTTACAAAAAATTCCATTTCTAAACTTCGAACTTCCCTTTTCTGAAAAATCCCAAAAAAATCGCGAGATTGACTTTTTCAAATAAAAATAAAAAAAAAATCCCAACTGCTTAAAAAAATCCCGAGATCTCGGGATAAAATCCCGGACTTGGCAACGCTGAAGAATGACTTGGCCTCCATTGAATACAAAAATACTCAATATTTATTTAAATTTTACAACAACAGTAATGTTTCATCAATGATTTAATGTGTGTAACCACCACGTTTCTCGATCACCCCAAGGCATCGACTAAGATATAGCCATCTCTATTCCTCCTGCAACAATTGAGCCAAGTCAGCCAGAGTGCTGTATTCTTCGAAACGACGATAGACAGATCGCTTTTGCTTGTCCCAAAGTCTCAGTCGAGAAGTGTGGTGTATACACCCATTGTTAAATCATTGATGAAACAATTTACTGTTGTACGTTGTGAAATTTAAATCAAGTCATTTTCGTTAATTTTGAAATTGGGTATTTTTGTAATCAATGGAAGTTATTCTTTAAAGCACGAATGACTCCATTCTTCAAACAGCATTAAGCAAACTACCATAGGTCTAATTATTGCCGAGGTGTGATTATCAGGTAATCTTTTTTTTAGAACTTATGATTATATATTTAATTAGGGGGGGACTTCCTTTTTGTCCTTTTTGTGCGGTGTTTATATATCTCATCTTTCGTTTCCTGTATGCAAATCATTCCGATCATAGAAACATATCGACATATATTACGACTAAATGGAAACCAGTGTCGTTACATTGTGTTTTTTTTTATCTCCATTCAATCATTCGAACAACATTCATGTTATCCTGTTAATTTTAATAAGCACACATGGAATTTGAATTTTCAATATTTCGTTGAGAATAAGCGAATGCAAACGTTGATGTTTCTGCAAACAGGAAATCGACTGTATTTTTAAAAAGGGAACATTAATTGATGTCGGAATAAAGGTCAATAAATATTATACATAAAATCCAATCTAATATAGTGTGACTCAGTGACTGCAGAAGTGTTAAATTGATTTAGATTTAATCATTCATGTTATAATTGAAAAATAGTGATAAAAACGTAAAGTATATGTAAACTGTGGTCATCCATTTCTATGGAACCAATGACAGATTTAATTTTTTATACGTATTCTACGTTTCTGTGTTGATAGACTTGTGACATACAGTAAGACGAGATCACAAACTTACACTCCATCTTAAACAATCTGCCAAGTACTCTGAAACTCAACTACAACTGATTCTATCGCACACCTTTGCACATTTTATTTAACATATTTCCAATTATATTACACCACGCCTTATATAAATTTTACACAGGCTACTGTTTTCTTAGGCGAGACAATTTTTTATTTTCCTCAACTTATCTTTAGTTCTTGCTGTATACACATAATAAACGTTTGATTGTTTTACCTATTTTTTATATAGAATTTGGTCATTAAAATGACCAACAGGACCAGTTAACAACTGTTGAATAATAAGGTTGCGGTCGATAAATATTAATCATAGATAGTCATAGAAAGCTTTATTGTCTTTAATCCTATATGCACAAGAAATGATTTAGAATTAAATTTACAAACTGAAAAATTTCAAATTCCAAGTTTTGAATGACATTAAAAGGACAGGACGAGTAACACTGTCATGCACAAGCCCACGAATGTTTACAGTTTATACATCTTTTGTACGTTCACGTTATATTCCCTTTTTCATTCTATTACACCAAAGTCAAAATTTTACTGGCGTTTCTAAATGTAAACAACGTGAAGGTATGTATAAAAGTCAAGGACTCCCAAACCAAGTTTGAGTTGTTGCTGTTGGGAAGGAGCAACGATGATTTGGATTTGTACATAAATATCGTCCAAAATTGTCTTCACCAGCACTGTCACAATATAAACTTTTTGTTGGCTTGAAATCGCACATAGAGAAATATATATCCAAATGTAAAGGATTATATGGAGCCTGAATAATAGGAACGGTACAATTCCTGCAGTTCTGTCCACGGACGTCCACGTAGTCAATCTTGTGTTTATCAAGTGAACAAACGAAGCTTGGACTGAATTGCTCATACGTCATTATATCAATGATGTCATTCCAGCCTTCCATGTAGTCAGTATATACAACACCTTCAGTGTCGTATTCACATGTAATCCGCCATTTACTCGAATCATTTCTAATCGATTCCATTCGGGATTTTGAAAGGCTGTAGAAATCCCAGCGAGGAGTGTTTTCATTGATTGGGTTGTCCAGATTGAACGACTTCATGAATTTGTGATAATTTTGAAGTTGATATGACTGGACCAATGTCCATGCCGTGGTTGAATTCGAATCAAAGTCGCAGAAAACATCAAAGAGATTCATGTTATCATCAAACACTTTGTACTGTCCAGCAGTCCGACTGTTGCTGTAACGACGACAAGATTTGACCACATGCTGACAGTAACGTCCAGTATAACCAGGCACACAGATGCATCTTTGACGCGATTTGTTCCATGCGGAGATGGTTATCGCTGTTCCTCCATTTTGGCAATATTCCATGGCACAACTGGATTTTCTGCTTGACATTTGAGTGTTGACAGACTGAAAAATATTTTTAAAAATGGTGTAACACAATAACGCAAACGAAGATGAAATTGATAATAAAGTAGTGGTAGTTGTCACTAATTCAAATTTGACTTCCACTACCATTACGAGACCATTAACCAATCAAAGGAATTTGATGTCCGATAACCAGTCAGATGCGTAATAAGTTGGTGAGAGGTGGTGGAAGCGGTAGTGGAAGTCAAATTTGAACCTCTCTAATGGTGATGATAATACTAACGATGATGATCATGATGGTACTGGGGGTAGAATGGTGGAGCAATGAAGAATTGCAGCTGATGTATAAACTTGTGGCCTGATGATGGTAACTAATGGTGGTAATGCTTATTGTAGCGCTTATAACAACACCTCATAATAATGGTGGTGATAATATAGTGGCCGCCCTAATGATCATGGTTGTAGTGACGATGGTGGCGATATTGGTGATGGTAATAATAACAATGCGACCAATTTCGCAGCACCTGTGTATCATAATAAGTACATCCTATCATGGTGACGAATGCTGAAGGTGATTGGAATTGATTAGACGACAACAATTGACAGTCTTTGTTCTTACGACACATTTGAAATGCTTTACAAATACGTTCTTGTTGACAAAACATGAAACATTCGACAGCATTGATTATTGTCAAATTTCGAAACGCATGTCCAAAAAGAACTTGGTCTTTTAAAGCTCTGCCAATACCAGTCATGCACTCGGAGTGCACCAGGATAAATCCCATTATGGATAATACCAAGACTGTCGAACGTAACAGAAATCTGAAAGGAAAAGCACCATAACGGAAGCATAAAATAACGTAATAATAGAGGGAGAAGAAAACCCAACACAGAGTCATCAAAGACTCAAAAATTCAAGATTTTGCTGGAGAAACCAATGAACATAATTTCAAGAAAGTGAGTACTTTATGTTACTTCTACATCGAAAGCAACATTTTATACTGTACTGTAGTTCTGGAAGTAGAGTAATAACGCGCAATAATTTGGCGGCTAGTAAAGTTTGCGCTTCCATGCATTGAAAACTGTAGCCTGCAATATAGATCAGGTGAAGGGCAGGGCAATCGTCCCAAAAACCTAAATTTATTAGATCAAGTCAGCTTAGTCAATTGGACGGCGCGGATTTCGAAAATCGATGTCATATATGTGCAATTTCGGGGGCTGTCACTACATCAGCCTTGTTTTCCTGTCTATTATTAGCATGACAAAATTACTGGATGCATGCTGATTGGTAGAGAGGAGTAGAATTATTTCATTAATTGTACTGCAGTACATTTAATGATTTTCTCAAAACAAACAAAACGACGGAAATGTATTTAAACACAAGTGAAATTGCCCTCTAGAGGAACTTAACAAAATAACTAAATAAAAATACGAACAAAACTACAAAGTTGTGGTTGAAAGTCTGTCAGGACAGGGCTTTGGCGAGAGTATATGTTGTGGACATTGAGTATTCAATTTTGACACGTTAATAATAAACAAGTAATCATGCAATGTTGCTCGTACAATTATGGATTAATAGTACTCGTGATGTTTGGAAATTTTGCCAAATTGGACTCGCCCCGGCGGCTCGTCCAATTTTTGCAATATTTCCAAACATCACTTGTACTATTAATCCCTAATTGTACTCACCATCGCATGATTACCTATACTTAGAATTAATGTATAAAATATATTCAAATTAACATATATTACTGGGGAAAAATCTCAAAACAAGACGATCACTAAAGCTCTGGTCCATGCAATAAGAATGCGAGTTGGCAGTCACGCCGGCATTTTTACGGTGAGCATTTATTATTATTATCTTCATATTTATCCAGGATACCCACATCACCGAAGTGTTTTTCAGTGGGGTCCTGCAACTTTAAATTACAGTATATTAATTCAATATTTAGTCATGCACTATTTCAAGCTCTAGATTAACAAAATAAAGGTTTGATCCAACATTTAGTATAGTTGGATCCAACTATACTAAAACTTCTAAAAATAGAATACATGAATCATGATAGTGTTGGGGCTAACCAAGGTCATCTGACTGCCAACTCTCATACACTCTCATCCTCGTTTAATCCGGGGCTTATAATATTAACCAATTGCTATACTCACCTAACATACATGATTAGTGCCTGGAAAATCCACGGTCTGTGAAGAAAATTTAATAGCTTTAATATCGACATTTGGTCTGAAATCGTTGCTTTCATGTGCAGTACTTGTGAATAGTTTCTAATGTTATATATGTTTTCACTTCACAAAGTATTTTAAAATACGTTAATTACACATGCACGCAGCTGATTATAATCAATTAAAAAGTCTTATTAACTACGAAAGCATCAAAGCCTTATAATCAATCAGTCAACCTGGCCTTAAGTGCATTCATACCATGCATCTGTGGGTCAAATATATGACATACATGTAACGAGATTTTATGTTATATACTTTGACGGGAAAATACAAGAAACCAGTCCAATATATTAAATTAGCTTTTTAATCTCATGTGCAGCTGCGTATTTTATGATTTATCAAAAAATAATGGACCTTCGGACAAAACTAGAATTTTATTTCTAAACTTATCTTTAACTGTAATTCCTATAGACCTTCTTCCCTAATGTCTAGTTTTTCTCTATAAAGCAGGGCCGTAGGAAGCTCTTTTCGATTGGGGGGGCTGAAAGCGAGGGCCGAAGGCCCGAGGAAATTTTTAAATTTAGAGTCTCTAAAATGCCATTTCCTGGACTTTGGGGGAAGATTTAACAGAATTCTGATAGTCAGAGAACAGCGTTTTAGTATGTCGAAATTTACAGGAAAGTATGGGCCAGACTGTAGTATTATAAATGCGCGGCGGGAATTTTCGTCGTAAATGGCAGTTGCGCGGAAATGAAGGCACATTTGAGAAAATTTCGAAAATCTGGAGTCTCTAGATGGTCTGAAATGGCATTTTCAGAGTTTTCTTTCGCAAGACCCAACACGCAAAAGACAAAATAAATCATTAGTTCATCAAAAATGTGCAGATTTTGTGGGATTTTCTTGAAAATGCGCGACAGAAATTCAGCTAAAATTTCTACGCGAGGAACGATCTGGAGTATGAGTAATATCTTCATTCTTTGCAGTTTGTCACAGATTAAATGATAAAGTTTGCATGATTTTGAAAAAAGAATGATTATTAGCAAATTATTGGGGGGGCTGCAGCCCCCCCAGCACCCCCGGTTGCTACGGCCCTGTAAAGTCATTAACTTACAATTGCATTTTCGCATCGATCAAATTCTGCATTACAGTATGTGAGTCGACTCTCTGCATTAGCAAAGCCTGCAGCTATTTGCACACTGGTGTCTGTTAGTTACTGCTATCTGGGACAGCTGTAATATCACTTGTCATCAAAGACTTTTGAAACTTCAGAAGAGGGCGGCAAGAATTATTCTAGATGTTGATAAAAGAACGCCTTCAATTGAACTTTTTAATAAGCTAAATTGGCTGCCTTTGTCGAAACAGTCTCTTATGAAAAGAACATCTATAACTTTTAAAAGAGTAAATACAGATTATGTTATTCCTGAATATTTAAGCACTGTGCTAGTAAGGAACTCAGATATTCATACTAGAAATACTCGCTTTAATAATATGAACATGGTGTGCCCAAAATACAGTAGAGAGACTGAAGGTGGGCGCACTTTCACCGTTAGAACTATTAAAGATTGGAACGCCTTCGATGTTACATTGCGCAAACAGAAATCTATATCTATGTTTAAACGCAGTTTGTATACTAAAATGTTAACGGACCAGAAGTCCGCCATGCGTTTAGAAATTGCTTAGGTGGGTGGTGGATTATTTTATTTGTAAATATAGTAGTTTTAGAGTTTTTATAAGTTTTAGTATTGTATTAGCTTAATTGTAGTTATGTAAGGAGGGCCACGAATTTATCAGTAGTTCACACTTACTGTCAAGTGTTTACCCTCATGAAATAAAGTCTGAACTTGAATTACTATTTAGTAATTTTACTGCTGTATAACAAGTTACTGCTGTATATTCTAGCCAAGATTTTGTTCAAACAAAATATATTTAAGTCTGGATTGATCAAATGAGCACAAGTGTCAGCTAGTTTGCATGAGAGTTTCTTGGCCGTTCTCAACCCTCCATCAAACTACTAAAGTGCAAATAGACTTTACTATTTATATTGTTCTCTTGCTGCAATGTCCTTGTTGTCATGTTTTATGCACAGTAGATCAAGATCAAAGAGAAACATATTTGTGCACGAAACATGGGATTGATATAACCTTCATGTGTACCTGCAATGCTACACAAGGTCACTGAACTAGCTACCTAATTGAAATTGATGAAAATGTTCACCTTCTATACCAATTGCACGATACAAATTTCCATACTGGGCGTCAGGGAGGGGATGATTGCATATTCCAGTTGAAATTTGAAAATTGATATATAGACTTCTTGCCAGACTGTATAGCATTTGGTCTAGCTGCACAAGGAAACATGTTCCCTCACTTCCCTGTTCACCAGCTTCTGAAAGCTCGAATTTCTGCCTGCACATTTTGAAGAAAATCCTAAGTCTATGTATTTATGGCCCATAAGTGGTCTTACGTTTTTAGCTTATAAATTTCCATGCAGCCACCACACATGACACGGAAATACTCTGGATAGTCTGGACCTCTTGGCATACCGAAATAATGAGTTCATCATTTATTTTGCTAATGCATGAGTCAATTCCTGGAGTAACCATCCCCCCCCCCCGGAACACCCCCAGAAATTTGTGTGATAGACAGTTCACAGGGGTCGGGAATTTGCCTGTTATATACATGGGCCGGGTATTGTTATAGTTGCTGAGACCCCGGGGATTTGACAAATGGTTTCACTTTCACGAAAATTATCACCTGTGGCATGCAAATTTAAATACAACCATTAAAGGTTTATGATTTCGTTGTTTAAATCCTTTTAACCACGTCACTCCGTTAGCAAGATTGAAGTTTTATAATATTCCATAGCAGTTTAATAGTATAATGTATTAATGTTATTAAATGACTTAATGCCTACAATATCGATATGCCATTAAAAGTTTAATTTAATAACGCTTAAAATCGTCCCTGGGGTGCCGTGCATTAGTCTCCTAGTTATGTCCCTGCACCTGGGTATTTGCACTATCGTAACCAATCAAATCAACTTCCCGGGTGTGTTCCGGGGGGGGGGGGGTATGGTTACTCCTGGAATTGACTCATGCATAAATAGCAGTTCGGTTCAAGTTGTCCTCCACATATCATAGATCAGAGTTGAGAAAAGGGATCAGATTTTTTGATAAAGAAAGTAATGAACAGTTTATTTGGTGGAAATTAGACAAAGATTTTTTTCACATGAAACGAGATTTGTTTATATGTAGTGTTTATATTTCTCCGCAAAACTCGCTTAGAGAACGTCGTCTAGACCGCGACCATTTTCAATCTCTTCAGGAAAATATTTACAAATTTTCAAAATTAGGGAGCATAATATTATGTGGCGATTTCAATGCTAGAATTGGTGATTTAGATGATTGTATAAAAAACACGTCAGTTTTAGAAGATTTTTTCCCATCTACCTGTCCTCCTAACGGTTCAATTGAAATTGAATCACGCAACTCCAAAGACAATCACTGTAATTCATATGGGAAACTATTGGCAGAATTGTGCTGCGGGAATGATTTAATTCTGCTAAATGGTAGAACGAAGGGTGACTATATCGGTCAATTTACCTGTCAAACATATAATGGAGCTAGTGTGGTTGATTATACCATGGATAATAAAATAAATGGATAGGACTTTAGCTGACGTAAGCAAAAACAACCTAGTTGCAATCTGTGACGTCACGCGTATTGCAAAATTCTGGGCATTTTTGTTTTTTCGCTATACTTTCCGCTTTAAAAGAGTAATATTGAAGCATAAACTGGTCTAATTGTTTTAAAAACATGCCTAAGCCACGACAAAGTATTCAAGGTAAATGTTTTTCGTCTTTGTTTTGTATTTTTTTACATTTGTAGCTACGAAATTGGCGTCCCCAATTTTAACGAAATTTGGGATGCCTTTTTCACTGTTTAGTGCTTGAAATATTTGCTATCGTGGAATGGCGTAGTTATATTTATTTGCTCTTTGACTAAAATGTTTAGCTGTATTATTGCTAAACATGCCGTTTTTGAGAATTTGGTTTGCAACTAGGTTTCAACATCCAATCACGCCATCAGCCCATTGAAAACATTAGGTCACGTCAGCTAGTTTCCTAACCATTAATTATTTTATTATCCATGATTAATATACTATTGTTTCTTCAGAGGTCATGAGCGAAATTAAATATTTTACTGTCTCTGAAATCACACACTTCTCGCATCATTGTTTTCTTTCCTTTGGTTTAGAAACTGAATCTTATTTACTACTAAGGACAGAAAAAACTTTACAATTGTCGTCACTTCCTATGTCTTTTATGTGGAATGATGCTCTAAAAACTACTCTTAGGGAAAATCTCAGTAATACCTGCATTTTGAATGAAATGAATACTTTGTTTCAATCTCCACAAGATCAGGATGTGGATTCATTAGTGAATGAATTTACAAATATTATTATTAAAGGTTCGAAAAAGGTTATAAAAATTAAAAATAGACGATTTACTAAAAAGAAACAAAAAAGTACAATGCAAAATAAAAAATGGTTTGACAAGAGTTGCCACGTGTTAAAAAATGAACTACGAAACTTGGGTAGCTTGCTTTCAAGATTCCCTGATAATAATTTTTTACGACATAATTTTTTCAGTACAAAGAAGGAATACAAACGACTCGTCAAACGATTAAAAAGAAATTTTAAAAATGAAATTGGACGAATATAATCCAAAAGAGTTTTGGAAATTGGTAAAGTCTATAAAATCAAATAATTCCAATAGTATAGTCTATAGAGGATGAGATTCCACCCGCAGTATGGTACGATTATTTTAAAAATTTAAATGAGAAAAAAATAACTACCGAAAATTTCAGAAACGAGACTCAATTTGTCAGAGATTACCGACTTTGGGCAGCTAAATCTGATAATACTCTAGATGCACCGATTTCAGTAAATAAAGTTTGCGCAAAGAAGCTTAAGAACAAAAAGAGTAGTGCTGGAGACGTAATAAGCAATGAAATTATTAAAATTGCTGTGGAAATTCATGCTACTAACTTTGTTAAACTTTTTAATCATGTTTTATATCACGGAATTTTTCCTTGCATGTGGTCGGAAGGGTATATTGTACCTCTTTATAAATCAGGTTGTCGTTCCGATCCTGGAAACTACAGGGGAATATGTATCAGCAGTTGTTTAGGGAAATTTTTTACCTCAATTCTTAACTATCGTCTTAATACCTTCTTGGAAGAACACGAAATCTTGAATAAGAATCAAATTGGTTTTAGGTACGGATTTAGAACGTCCGATCATATACTTGCGCTAAAAACATTAATAGATTTCTATAAAATACATAAGAAACAATTATTCGCTTGTTTTATAGACTTTCGTAAGGCATATGATAGTGTATGGCGAGAGGGTTTATTCTTCAAGCTTATCCAATATAACGTAGTAAGAATTTTGTACGTATATTACTAAGTATGTACTCTTCAGTTAATTATAAATATAAGGTCAAACTTTCTTCGGGAAGTACTCCAGTATTTTCGTCAAACATTGGTTTAAAACAGGGTTGCAACATGAGTCCATCTTTATTTAATGTCTTTATCAATGATATACCTGAATTACTAAATACTACAAATTGTGATCCGGTGTATCTAGGTACTATTAAGGTAAATTGTTTACTTTATGCTGATGATTTGGTTTTATTATCGAAGTCTCGGTCAGGTTTACAGGAAAGTCTTGCGATACTGCAAAGTTATGTAGAAAGGTGGAAGTTAGAGATCAATTTAAAAAAGTCTAAGGTTCTAATTTTTGGTAGTAAATCTCAAAGAAGCTTATATACCACCTCCAAGTGGTGTCTCGGCGGAGAATTGTTAGAATGTGTTGATGCATATGTCTACCTAGGAATCACTTTCCATTATTCTGGTCGTTTTAAAGTAGCTCAAAAGTTGTTGTATAGTAAAGCATTGGGGGCATACCACAGTATATTTAAAAACTTTTCAAATTTGGATAGTGTCCCAGTTAAAGTACTTTTAAAACTTTTCTCGGCTCTGGTTTCTCCGATATTGTTGTACTGCGTCGAAGTATGGGGAGTTCAATTACTAGGAAGTTTAACAAATATTGAAATGTTTAAGAAAAAGTTTTTTAGTACGATTTCGGATATTGAAAAGTTGCATATAAAGTTTTGTAAACGGATTCTGGAAGTCCATTCCAAATCTACCAATCTAGCAGCAATTGCTGAACTAGGAAGATACCCAATGATTATCCAGGTTTCCACATTAGCCATCAAGTATTGGTTAAGAATAAATAGTCCAATGTATGAAAACCAGTTCGTGGGTATAGCAGCACGTGTATGCATTCAATCATGTTGTCCGATTGCAAAATTCAACGATTTTTTGTTAGAGATGTGTAACTTTAATCCTTTAAAAAATACTACAATTTGGAAGAAGAGTGATATTAATAATGTAGTCAAAAGTATCAAAAACGAGTTATGTGAAAGATTTAATATCATGTGGAAAGTTCAGATTCAACAACTCAGTAAATTGCAAGTTTTCAATCTTGTAAAACCTAGTATAGAATTTGAAAGCTATTTATCTCAAGTTAAAATTGTGAAGCACCGTCAAGCAGTGACTAGGTTTAGGATATCCGCTCATAAGTTACCAATTGAAACTGGACGATATGCGAATATTGAACACGATTTACGTCTATGTCCAATTTGTAACTCGAATGAGATTGGGGACGAATATCACTACTTTTCACATTGTAGTAACAAAAGGTTAGAAAGACTGCGAGAAAATTTTTTAAATGAGTTAGTTGATTATAACAGCAAATTCAGCTTGTTGCAGGGTACAAATAATTTATTTTTATACTGTATGTCAATGAATGACAAAAACATTATTAATCCTACGGCCAAGTACATATACGAAATTATGAATATTTTTTTAGATCTTGCCTGCATCTAGCTCTTCCTTGACTTGTCCTTGTTTAAATTTTGTCATTGTTGTAAATATTATTACTCTTGTTCTATTATGTTATTTTTATATAGCTTATAGACATTTGCTGTATTCTTTATATACCAGTACTGGTATTTTTGTTTGAATAAAGTTATTACTATTATTATTATTATTATTATTATTATTATTATTATTACTATTATTATTATTATTATTATGAGTTCATTGGCGAAGTAATTTTAAAAATAAACGTTGTCTAAAGCTGGTTTTCCACTTGCGAATTTTTTCGAGCGAAGCGAATTTTTCATTTGTCTTTGGTCTCTCAACTGGAACTAATTGGGTAAAGACAAAAGAAAAATTCGCGCGAAAAAATTCGCAAGTGGAAAACCGGCTTAAGCCGAGAAAATCACAGTTAAAGTTTATGTAAATCAACATGAATCTGAATCACATATACAGGTACGACACGCTTATGATTTTTCTTTGTGTTTTCTTCATGAATTATTAATAAGTTTTTTAAATACTAGATATCACAGCCATACCTTCCATTTTGATCTTTTCCTCGCGTTAGATAAGTTGATAAGTACACTCTTTCTTGTTAGCCATCGTACCTGTTCGGCTGTTCCTCTTTCGATACGAAACTTCGAGATTAGATTCGTTTATTCAAATAAAACACTTTGCAGTCATGCATAGACTGAATTATGTGAATATTTACAACAATTGAGTTTTATACATTATTACAACAATTTTGAATAATTAAAAATAAGAGTAAGTCAATTTATCACCTAGATTAATTGTTGTTAAAATTTATATATTTGAGCTATGACTAATAATAAAAGTTTTTTAATAAAAGTTTTTTTTGTCTTACTAACAGGTACATTAAACCTTCGTTCACTCCTTAAATCGTTATGATGATGTGCTTGCGGTGGAAGTAGGCCACTGAGCTTATGATCCGGTTTATTAACAATATCTTCAAAAAGATGACTTGATAGTTGGGCTCGTCTTTTGAAGAGAGTGGAAATGCCGGCGTCTTTTAGCGCGTCAGCATATTTCAAGTCTGGGAGGATGATACGCATAGCGCGCCTTTGGATACTCTCAAGCTCGTTTGACAGATAGTTAGGGAGACTCCGATGAAACAACTGGCACGCATATTCCAGGAGTGATCTGATGGCACTACAGTAAAAAGTGATAAGATCTTTTGGACAGATCCCGGCTCTTTTTAATTGTCTCAAAAGATACAGTCGTTTTGCGGCTTTTACGGTGACAATACCAATATGGTCGTTCCACTTAAAATCGTCCCGGACTGTTACGCCAAGAATTTTGGCCACGCTAACTCTTTCTAACTGGAAATCATTTAGTTCGACTAAAGGGGATGATGGAGGGTTTCTCTTGAAACATGATCGTACTTCTTTACACTTAGCTGGTTTCAATTGTAATCGATTTTCTTGAGACCATGCATCGATATAGTCAACAGCTTGCTGAAGAGAGCTTTGCTTGGAGGGTGGTATCACTTCAGAGATTGTGCAATCATCGGCGAATTTCCACATAGGTAAGGATTCCTGAGGTAGCTTAAGATCATTGATTAGTACTAAAAACAACCAGGGACCAAGACGAGTTCCTTGAGGCACTCCTGCTGGGACGTCAAGCCAATCGAGGACCGAGTTATCGTACGGCACATTCAAGTGTATACTTATGGATGATTCCAATTAATTACAAATATTTCTTACTCTTATTCTTTAAAATATTAAAGATTTGGGAACAATGCTATACCACGGCAGCATTCACTACCCTGTGGGTAAACTAGTCTATGCTATTATGCTCACTCCGCCATTACATGGCGTGTTTGGTCATACCTAAACATAATCCTTAGTCAATGAATGACATCTAGCGAAGACGAACTGTTTTAAATATAAAAGTAGTAAGGGAAGACATCAATTAATAAACCACCGAGTTTGCGAGGCAAATTCTTTATCGTGGTTGCAGCTATTTGCTCATAAATATGGCAACATCGAATGATGTTTTGGACGACATGCTAGCCGAAGGTGCACTTCTTTCAGAGCCAGACCCTGACTCGGCGCAGCCGAGAACATCAGGGGAACTCAGAAATTGAGCAACCGAGAGCAAAACGGGCCCGTACGTCGGGAAAAACGGGGAAAGCTGGCGCTACTAGTGTAGTAAAACCTTTAGTTCAATGAGTAAAACCCGTTCACGCCATCAGCAGTGATGTTGTCACCGAGGTTGAAAATGGCGCCAAAGTCACTCTAGAGCTGAGGGGCTCAATCATAAAGTTGCTCAACTCGCTGAGATAATGAACTCCTTTGCTCCAGTAGTGAAAGAACTCAAAGGTGCTTATGATACTGCGCAGCAGCAGGACGGCGCTAGTGTTTCTGAAGGGGGAGTCGAGGATGACCTTCCAAACGACGAAGCAACTGACTTGCTCCCTGCCAGCCAAAGCGGTGCGCTGGTCGACAAGCCAGAAGCGAAAACACACATTTGCTCCGCACCCAGGCACCTCAAATACCTCCAATGCTCATTTTTTATTCCAACGACGGGGCGGCCAGTCTCAGGGCCGACCCGGGGGGGGGGAATTCAGCACCGGAGACGAACAGACGCATTCAGGACAGGGGGGAAATCTGTGACACAGAAATAAACCCCACTAATCAAAGTGTAAGTACTAATTATTATAGTAAGCAAAATTTGCGCAGTTCTTTACCTCAGACAAAGGGGGGCTGTTCAGTTGCAGGCCGCATACAACATTTCGTGGAGAAATGGAAAGAGGTTACTAGTGATTCTGTTATTCTCTCTGCTGTTACTGGGTACCTGAGGCAAAAAAAATATGTGGGTTTCCGGTTTCCCGACCCTGCCAAGCTTTTGGACGTCGAAATCCCGACCCTAAACTTTTTTATTGGATCATGCTTGTAAGTGTTTCCACTTAGAGGAAAAAGTTTGTGGAAAATTGAAATTTGAGGCAATATTAGAGAAATTTATTTTTGGATGTGGAAGTACTGACTAAACAAAATGGCGTCCGCTTGTTCGGAAAATTAAAAAAAAGTTTAAAAAAAAAAGTTAAAACCGACCTACCCAACCTAAGTTTTTATAAGAAGAAACCGGAAACCCACATATTTTTTTTGACCTGATAGAGTTTATGGTCAATCCGGTACAACTTGTAATACCTAAACCTATTAAAATGAGCACACAAGAGGCCGACCATGTTGATTCACAAATACACAAATTCCTAAAAAAAGGGCATTATCATTGAAAGTTCTCATGAACAGGGGGAATTCATATCTAATATCTTTCTTCGACCAAAGAAAGATGGGTCATTTCTATAATATTCTCTTTGAACATCAAATATACAAGCTAGTTTTGTTCTCGAGTCTCCATGTTCTCCCGTTTATCCGTCCACCTGTCACGTGTCCCCCCACGTGATAACATAGGATATTACATCCCTCCCTTACTGGGATTTAGAGACGTGCTAAAGTCACACTAAACATAACTAGTAAAAGAACCCAAATTTAAAGTCAAATGTCAACTAAGTGTTTGTCATATAAGGTTCACTCAATGTGATTCGTAAAGTACATGCATGCATGTCTTAATACAGTCTGTCAGACACGGTGACAAGTACTGGGAGCTTATTAGTCCGACAATAAGTTCCTTATTCAGCGCTATGCATAGTCTGCTAGATGTCTTGGTGGCGCTCGAACGCGTTGAGGATAACGGTGAGGTTCTTGTTGCTGTTCTTCAGCCTGTGCAATGTTGTCCGGTTCACCGTCCGTATCTTCGAGGTTATCATGTTCTCCATCGGTTGAGTCGCCTTCCGTTGGTTCATCTTGTTGTCTGACGAGCTTGAAGAACGACGAGTTTCTGGTCACTGTCTTTTCTCCTCGCGTGGCGGTTACCATCGAGCCTTTGCAGCTGATTACTTTGTATGGCTTTGGTTCATACGGGGTTTCGGACTTTCGATGTGAGGGATCACGCTTTAGGACCACGGTATCGCCAGGTCGTACTCTTGATGGCTTGACGTATGCTTTCGAGTCAGCATATTTCTTCATCTTTCTTTTGGCTTTCTGGTCCGTCTCTTGGATCTCGGCCGGGTCCCGTGCATTGGTGTGTACATCGGGTAGCTTCGTTCGGAGTTGGCGATTGAAGAAGGCTGTTGCTGGGGCCTTTCCAGTTGAGCTGTGTGGTGTAGCTCTGAAGTTCCGAAGGAAGTTGGTTAGTTCTTCCCGCCATGGTTTCTGCTGTGTAAGTGCAATCTTCACGATCTTCTTTACCGTCCTCATGAACCGCTCTACTTCGCCATTGGCTCTTGGCCAATAGGGAGTGATCTTTCTGTGGGTAAATCCCAGGTTAGCGGCGAAAGTTGCAAAGGCTTCGGAGTTGAACGGCGGACCGTTATCGGATTTCAGAATTCCTGGAATGCCAAATTGTGAAAAGATGTGTTGGAGTTTAGGAATTACAGCTTGGGCTGCCACTGAACGAATAACTTCAACAATTGGATAGCGTGAGTAG